TGTCCACAGGAACTTGTACCAGGAACTAGGAGCTTTTAGACCAGAGTGTAGATTAGTTTCAGAACATTGGGTCATGGAATATTTTAGCTATTTCACAATAGCTGGTAAAAAGTATTCTTGCTCTGTGGTGTGCTGCTTTTTTACTGTTTTTAAAGATTTAAAAAAAAATCTCCTCGACCGCTCTCATCTTTATATTCTTTGTTGTTGTAAGAAAACTGTGACATCATCCATCAGGTGGGCATACAGTAGAGGACTACGTCCAAATGAAGCTGTGAGGAATGTTTATATGAAACTGACTCACACATAAAAGATGAAACGCTGTGACTGTAATAGACTGAAGCCAGCAGTGATGTGCACACCACCTATAAGAAGGCTTCAGTCATCTAGACCCAACACAGCAAACTCATTCCTTTACAGAGGATGTCCTGTAATTAGCGAGCACCATGTAAGCTGTGCTATAATGTCATGGTTTATTCTTGCAGCTGCCTCTGACGTCACTGCCACAGGACAGTAAGCAGGTGTACGTACAGCTCCTGTGGGACAACATCAACCTGCACCAAGAACCCGGAGAACCACTTTACCTGCTCTGGAGGACCTTTTGTAAGTGTGAAGACAGACATTATCAATCATTGTCCATCAGTACAGTGTCAAGTGTAGAGCCTGTATTTGCAAATTGAATTGTGAGCTTTCAGATTATTGGGGTGAGCTATACTGCATAATCACCACTGGGGGGCACCGGAGTTGGGCCTTTAAACCTCAAGCAAACACATTTTAGTGCACATTGAGACTGAAGTATTGATTTAAAAGGTACCCCCCCCCCCAAATTAAGTCAAAGATGTTTTTTTAAATGTAAAGTAAATAACGAAAGGACTTAAGACCATACATGTATCTACTAAAAAACACTGAACCTCAGTGACCTTGACCTTGAGGTTAAAGGTCAAATTTTCTGAAAATCTTGTCAATCTAATAACTTTGGAATGAGACAAAAAGGGATTTTATAATTGATACCTTCGGTGCATGTATTAGGAGATTGAGGGGTATTTTTGTTAAAGTGTCACTGCTGAGCAGAACAGATCAGATTGGAGGCTCTTTGCTAAAAGAATATTTCAGCAGACTCTCTGATGCTTTGGTGTTTGTGCTCCCAGTGGAGAAGAGGGGAACTCTGGGGCCAACAGACCACCAGGAGAGCCGCACTCTCCTCAACACCATTGTTCGCAACATCCAGACCAACGACGTCTACGGGCCGATCAACCTGCTGATCCGAGAGATCAAACGGCGTCCAGAAGGGCTCAAACG